GAAGCAGGATGCTGCCAATGCTTTCTGAGCTGCAGCCTCTCCCGTTGGTCACGTGTGCCCCTGGCATGGGGCTGAGGGGGAACAGCTCTTTGTGCAGTGCTGCCTTGTGTGTGTGTGTGTCCTTCTGGCACCTGTGGCTGTAATTTCTGGGCAGATTTCTTGAAAATGTGATATCCCACCCTGAATGGCAAGGTGGCCAAGCACAGGAGGGTCTGCTGCAGGCACAGTGTGCTTGTCCCTGTCCATCTGCAGTTCTTTGTCCTTAGCTTTTTTCTCTTGTATAAAAATGAGGAAGTAGTTTATAACTTTTTCAGCATTTGTTAATAGATGCAATAATAGGTTTCCTGTTTGGTGAGCTGGGAGGGGTGCCCTCTGTGCTTCCACAAGGAAAAAGGCAGCCCTTAGTGCAAAAAACAGGAGTTGAGCTTCACTGTGCATTGCCAGCTGGACTAAATGCTGAGAGCATGCTCTGGTGATAGGAGTTTAATGGGAATTCGGTTAGTAAAATTCAGAGTGGTATCAAGCATGCCAAATAGTATCTATCATACTTGAAAAGCCCTTAGATTCTGTTTACAAGTCTATCTTGAGTCTGAGATGGTTTGGGTACTGCTTATTTGAGCCAGTAAACAGTATTAATGATGTGACGTTAGGTGTAGCACAATAAAGCAAGCTGAAATATCAGGCAACGACTTGTCCCAATTGACATAAATGAAAGATTTTGACCTTGCAGGTAAAGGCAACCCTCCCTGCTTTGCTTTAAAAGATTAAATTGTCACTAGATTATTTTTTCTTGATCTATCATGAATGTGGGTTATTAGATGCAGCCTTTCTGCTATGGAGAATATACTGTGCTTATGCAATTACTCAGATGTCACTATCCTTAAATATGACTTAGATTCTTAGCTCTCAATCTATAGCCCATTCATGCACCTTACTACACTGTAATTCTGTTTTTATTAAATTGCTCTCAGGATAAAATGTGTGAAACCATTTTGCTATCAATATGTTCTTGAAACTAAATGTATGCTTAATTTGAAAGGTTATAGCTGCTGATTTAAAAAAAAAAATCTGAATTTTACATTCGATTTAGTAAAATAACTTAAAAACTTGTCTCCCTGCTGTAAATTGGCTGTTTCCTGATGGGTCACCTGCAACCTTTCTGTCCAAGGCTTTGCAGAACTGCTTGGACAGCTCTTGGGAGGTGGCAGGTGGGACACTTAGACCTTCTTTTGTCTCTTGGTGCCTGGACACCAGCTGGTTTGTACTGTGCTCATGATAAACCAGCACTGCTCTTGCTTTGAATCAGCATGGTCAATGTCAGCCCTGTGGTGTGCTTCTGCAGCTAGCTGCTGCAGCAATGCCCCTGCGTGGTAAGGTACCTGGGAAGGGTAAGACCTTCTCATCCTGGTAGGTCCAGGGACTGCCTGGGATGACACTGAGTGGCTCAGCCCGAAATGGCTGCTTTCCAGGACCTGTGTGTGGTGTAAGGTTGGTGCTGGTACCCTGGGTGCTGTGGGACCAAAAGGCATACGATGCTTGGAGGAAGCGGAGAGGCAGCATCCTCCTGTAGCAGCTGATGCCTTACTACAGGTGGGCTGTAGTAGTGTAACAGTGTAGGTAACTGTTTCTAGTGCCTAAAATAAAGGTCATGCTTTGCTAAAGACACCTTATGCAAAGCTGGTGACCTTACTGTAGAAAGCAGAAGTTCATGGTTATGTAAAAACCTTCTTAAACCATCAGGTTTTTGTAAAACTCCAGCAGGTGTAGCAGGCTGGAGGAGTTTTGACCAGGAGGTAAAAGAATGCAGGGGAATGGGAGGATGCTGGAGAAATGTGCCGTGCTGGGCACTGCTGTGACTGCTGGGGCACGAGGGGTCCTCTGCCCTTGCACGATGCACACTGGAGGAAAGGCTGGGTGTAATGTGATTGATTTCTATCACTATTAATCCTTTGAGGAGGACACCAGGCAGGATTTCCCTGTTGCAGGCTGCTGCACTGACAGTCCTTGCTGGCCTTGGGACTTGCCTGGGGACTTCTCTCTCTGAGCCCTTTAGGAAAGGACCCACTGGAGGAGCATGTCCCCTCTTGCTGTGCCGTGGTCCTTCAGGGACAAGGTGCTAAGTAGCTCTTCTTTGCAAGCACCACGTGCTCCTTTGCTTTGAGCTGTTTGTGAAACCTAAAGGTGACACTCAAAATTCTGCCTTTGGCCAGAAAATGTGAAGTTTTCCTTGGTGTGGCGTTGCCTGAAGCAGCTGGGGCTTCTGCAGACATCTGCCTCAGGATGGGGATGAGCACCCAGCTGGATTGCAAGTCTAGAGCTTGTGCCACATGAGGACAGCCCCCTGCCATTGGGGACATCCTCAGCCATGGGTGGCTTTGGGAGTCTGCTCACAGTGGCACCAGGAGTTGGCTGGAAATAACAAAGACCTGCAGCGCAGGTGTAAACTTTTTTCCCCCCCATTCCCCAGATTATCCTCTTGATCTGAACCACAACGACACCTTTCTGCAAGCCACAACGTTTCTTCCTGAAGACTTTACCTACTTCCCTAACCACACCTGTCCCGAGAGGCTCCCTTCTATGAGTGAGTAGCACCCGGACAGCCCCATGCCCCTCTCCCACTCCCCATGGCTTTGGAGGGCACATCATGGCATTCCCTGTCTTCCTGGCATTACATCTTCCCCCACTGGGCACCTGGGGATGAATTGGAGCGCTGTTTGGAGCCCTCCTGGGAAATCGTTGTTTACCCACTCATACAAATTAATCCCTGCTACGTTGGAGGCATGTCTTCCTGCCAGAGCAGGAGCCCATTGCTTGGCAAACGCAAACAAAAGAAGGATTGTGTGCTGGGAGCCGGTGAAAAGGCTCAGCCAACCCCGCTCCAGAGGCAGCAGCGGCAGGGTGACTCCCTTGGCCCTCAGCAGTGCTGCCAGCTCTGAGCTGGGCTGGGTATAGCTGGGCAGGGCCTGGCATGGGAAACAAACTGGACCCCTCTGAGGGAGCCACAGCTGGGAGAAGTGCTTCCACCAAAGCAATATTGCAGTGAAAAATTGGGCTTTTGGGGGTAGATGTTTCCTAAAAAGGGGAAATGGCTCTCTGCTAAGGTGTGGGGTTTTGTCTGTGCTGGAAACCTGTCTGGAGGAGTAGAGGGGTGCCCCGACTGGTGTGGAGCTCTGATGGAGATCCACATCCAACAGCAACCATGAAGGCTGAACAGAGCCTAGCTGCCAAGGAGGTGGAGGTGTTACAAGTTGTGCCAGCAGCATTTCCTAATTGTTTTTCATAGATTCATAGATTTCTAGGTTGGAAAAGACCTTAGAGATCATCGAGTCCAACCGTCCCTAATCCCCATTAAACCATATCGCTAAGTAGATCATCCACCCTATTCTTAAACACATCCAGGGGTGGGGACTCAACCACCTCCCTGGGCAGCCTATTCCAGTGGCTGACAACCCTTTCAGAGAAGAAATACTTCCTAACATCCAACCTGAATCTCCCCTGACTAAGCTTATACCCATTTCCTCTTGTCCTATCACCCATCACTAATGTAAAGAGCCCTTCTCCTACCTCCCCACCATCTTTTCTCAAGTATTTGTAGGCTGTAATCACGTCTCCCCTCAGCCTCCTCTTCTCCAGGCTAAACAGCCCCAACTCCCTCAGCCGCTCCCCATAAGTTTTATTTTCCAGCCCCTTGACCAGTTTGGTCGCCCTTCTTTGGACTCGCTCCAGGAGCTCAATATCTCTCTTAAAGCGAGGGGCCCAAAACTGGGCACAATATTCCAGGTGCAGCCTCACCAGTGCCGAGTACAGGGGCAGGATCACTTCCCTATTCCTGATACTTCCCTATTTTGTTGATACTTGGGGAAAAGAAGAGGCTGCCTGCATTCTGTGCTGGGGATGGGGGGCAGAGATGCAGCAGAGCGCTGCCCCGAGCAGGCACTGAGCTGCTGCATGGCGGTTCCTGACCCCCTTCTCTGCTCCTCCCCACTGTCTCTGCAGAGGGCCCCATTGATGTAAATATGAGCGAGATCACGATGGAGGATATCCACCAGTTCTTCTCAAAAGACCCTTCCATCAAGCTGGGAGGCCACTGGAAGCCGAGTGACTGCCTGCCGCGCTGGAAGGTAACCGGGGAGCTGGGGAGCCCTGCATCCCTGCTGAGCACGGGGGGATGGGGGTCCCGGGCGGGTGGTGGGAAGGCGTTAACAGAAACGTCTCTGATGTGCTGCAGCTCCATCCCTAGAGGAGATGACTTAGGGCATTGTGGTAGTGGCTGCCTGTCCCCACTCCTGCTGTCCCCAGCCCTGGGCAGAGGCAGTGAGGAGGGGGCTGCAGGTCTCCCTCCTGCTCAAGGTTACATTGACTTTCCCCAAAGCAGCAATTCCCCAAAAAGCGAATAGGAAAGCTGTGATGTGGTGGTAGGAAGGCTGCTCCAATCCTACGCGGGAGAGCAGAGACACCACGTTTGGTGCTGCTCCCCTCCTATAACAGCAGCCAGTCCTGCTCCCCAGCCTGAGGGTGGGTTGGTGGCAGAAGCCGCTGGTGCGGTACACTAAGAGTCGTGTCCTCTCCCTGTCAGGTGGCGATCCTGATCCCATTCCGCAACCGATACGAGCATCTTCCTGTCCTCTTCAGACACCTCATTCCTATGCTGCAGCGGCAACGTTTACAGTTCGCCTTCTACGTTGTGGAACAAGTGAGTGAGCCCTGGGGTGGTCGGGGTGGCAGCCGCGGGGGCACGGACACAGACGTGCTGTGCCAGAAACGTGGCTGAAGCTCCGGCAGACAAAGCTGCAAGCAGAGCTCTGGGCTGTGTCCCCAAGGCATTTGCCTGCCAGATCACATCATGTAAAGGTTTGGGGTTCACGTTGCAATGTTTAAATTGTCTCGTTCTGTCTAGAAGTGGCATAGCTCAGGGATGTACCCAAAAATTATTGGTTTTATCTGAGAAATAAAGTAGAGATTCAGTTTTTTACAAAAATCCTGTACTGGAGGAAATATTTGAAAAAAGACAGTGTTGAACCAGGTATTAGCAGTTTAAATAATGATGGGTTATTTTCATGTATCTCTGTAGTAGTTCCAGGGAGCATCCCCAAGGCACAGGAATGGCCTGACCAGAGTTAATGCAGTTTCTTGTTCTGGGCACTATCTGGAAGACTTTCGTGACCGTAGAACTTAAGACTGTCAGTTGATGTGTATGTGAACCTGTCACTTAAGCTATTGGGCTTCATCCACCCAGTAAATGTACTTAGCTCTATTTTAAAAAGATTGATCAAAATTTTTTTTTTCAAGTGTCTGAATAGTAAGACTTTAGCATCTTTATTTTTGCTCCTGCGCTGTAAATTGAATATTCAAAGTCTTGGTTGATCTCCCTAGTTTGTCTGTTCCAAGACATGGTTTCTTTTTGCACCATTGACATGGGAGCTGGTTGCCTTCTGCAGTGCTCCAGACAAGGCTGAGGACGCACGTGCGGAGCACGACCTGCACGGGGCTCCCCTTGAGAAGGAACTTTCTCCCTCCTAGGCTGGAACCCAGCCCTTTAACCGTGCCATGCTCTTCAACGTTGGCTTTCGGGAAGCAATGAAGGACTTGGACTGGGACTGTCTCATCTTTCACGATGTGGACCACATACCAGAAAATGACCGGAACTATTATGGGTGTGGACAGATGCCAAGGCACTTTGCAGCCAAACTGGATAAGTACATGTATCTGTAAGCACTGCTTTTCCTCTGCACTACAGTAATAGCCAAGGAGCCAGTGTTAGCTTTTTTTTTCTTTTGAGAGGCTGAAGATGAATCTAGGTTTGCTTCTAAGGCTTTATGCAAAGTGAACATGAGAGGGGAATAGAAGAAGCATCCTTGCAGCTCAGGCTTTCCCCATTGCAAGCGGGAGAGCTGCAGCGCTGGCAGGACCTGCCCTATTCTCTTCTCTCTCACTTAGGCTCCCTTACAACGAGTTCTTTGGTGGGGTGAGCGGCCTGACTGTCGAGCAGTTTCAGAAGATCAATGGTTTCCCTAATGCCTTCTGGGGCTGGGGCGGTGAAGATGACGACCTCTGGAACAGGTACGGGCTCGGCTCAGCTGGTGCCCCTGAACTCCACTTCCAGCAGTCGTTCTTGGACCAAGCTTTGCACGTGCTGCAGGGAGAAGTGTTGTCACCTCTGCAGCTGGTGCTGGGCTTGTGGTGCCCGCTCCACCCTGGGGAAGAGCCAGCTTGGCTCTGGTGGCTCAGTGGGAACAGGGATCACTCCAGCCTATGCAGGCAGCAGGTTGTAAGCAAACAGAGGGGTGCTGGTTGGGAAATTACTGGCTCTGTTTGCAATATCCCACGCTGCTGAGGTCAACTGATCTCAACCAAGCTAAAACCTTGAGTTGCTGAGCACTGTGCGGCTTGCATGGAGCCCAGGCTGGAGTGGGGGGGTTTGCACAGCTTATCTGTAGGGTGGAAAGGTGAAGCTGCTGTAGGAGCCCGAGGTGCACTGACTGTGCAGCCCTGGGAAGCACTGACAGCACAGCAAATGCAACAATTGGGTTTTTTTGTTTTTATTCATTGTATTTCTCCCCTTACTAACGCAGAGTGCAGTATGCAGGCTACTCGGTGACTCGACCAGAAGGAGACACAGGGAAATACAAATCAATTCCCCACCATCATCGAGGAGAAGTGCAGTTCCTAGGAAGGCAAGTGAAATTTATTTTTTTTAAGAATCCCAAAGCCCTCCACAAAGCATACTGTGTACAAGGCTCCCTGCAGCTGTTTCAGGGTGGTAACAGCCTTAACTCAGGAAGGAAACTAACTGTGGGAGATAAAGGAGACAGAGCACCGTTAGCTTCCTCTGGCACGTTTTATACCCTCCATCCCTGCGATGATGGGTCCTCTCTTTGTGACTGGAGCTGCTTGGATGCCATCCAGAAGAGGGGTGGTCAGCATGGCAGCCTGACAGTGGGCTGGAGGCCCAGTCCTTTATGCTAAAGGACTGGCTAATGCCAGATGTCAGAGAAACTTCGGTGTTTCTAGAAGAACCTGATCTTAAGTGTGGAAGGAGGCATTGCTCAGCCTGCAGAAGGCAGAGTGGGGCTGTCCTGGTGTGTGGCTGCTAAAGCATCAGTGTCCCTGGGAACACTGACAAAGTCCAGCAGCAACACCCTGGATTTGCACTACAAAGGCAGTTGCCATTGCAGAAGCAATGTCCTGCTGTGGAGTTGTGATTCAGTAGTGAATGTTCTGGTTTTTGCTCAAAAAGCTAAGTTCTCCCTGGAGCTTTCCAGGAGGGCACCAGCCTCTTCCTTCAGGAGCCAGGGTTGGTTTGGGGAGTACAAAGGTTGGTCGAATGGCTGCTGTTGCCAGGAGACCTCGGTGGAATTTGAGTCATCTGAAAGCTATGCAACAGAAAACCAGAGAAATACCTTTTTCAAGAACAACTGCAGAAACTTAGACTCATAGGTGATGAGCTGCTGGGCAGTGCAACTCTGGCAGAGTTGCTCCTGGCTGCTGCTGGCAGAAGGGGCAGCAAGGAGGGTTTGTGTTGCAGATACCATTTGAGCTATCTGCTGGTTCTTTTAACAAAAGACTCATTTTTGGGGGAGTTTCCATTCGAGGTTATGTCATCTTTAGCCCTAGTTTTCATTTCTCTGTCAGACAGAACGCAGCCAGTAAGAGTTGCTTCTCTTGTTTTACTTTTTCAAAAGAGAAGTCTGTTTTGACTTCAAAAGCCATATTTAGTCAAACCCTTGAAATGTGGAAAGGCCAGGAGAGCAGTGGGATCGAGCTCTTGTTCTGAACTCCCCCATGGTCATCTCCTGGCCTCAGCAGGAGCCCTTGTTCACTGTCAGCAGGAGCTGTGGTCGGTGCTGCTGGAGGGGGGTCTGCGGTGACGGTGGACAGGGCACCGCTTTCCCTGCTGAGGCTGCACCTGGCTGCAGAGTGCTGCTCCTCCGCTGCGGCATCTGGAGCCTGATGCCCAGCCTAGGCCAGGCTTAGCAAGATATCCTCAGTGTCTCACCTCTGAAATCTCTGCTTCCCTCTGCACTTACCCACGGGCAAGTACTAACTGGTGTCATCTGACAGCCCTGCTGCTCTGCCCCCCAAGCAGGGGGACCCAGCAGTTCTCACTGCAGAGAAGAAGTCATCGAGAGAAGGTGTTCATCGAGACACTGAGTGTCCTGATGCTGTGACCTCTTCAAAGCCAGTTTTGGCTCTTCCCTCTTTGCTTTGACCTGGTCTTCCTCTTCCTCCCGGCACATCCCTTCCCTGGTGCTTTTTTTCTGTCCCCAGGTCTCAGCGCAGCTCCCACTCACCCCAGAGCTGCCAGGCCCCCAGAAAGTCAGTGTCCTGCCCTGTCCAGATGTTTCTACTTAATATATTTTATTTTTTCCCCTCTCACCTTAGCCCTTATATTTCATCATGCTGCCCCTAAATTTAGTTGAGGCTGGTTTTGTGCACCAACTGCAGTTTCCTTCTCTAAACCACCATTGTTCCAGTTTCACTTCCTCATTCCCCATCCCTCTCGGACCAAAACCATTAGTTCTGCGCTTGTTTGTGGTCCAGTTTCTCAAAAATGGAAAGGACCACATCACCCATCAGCTGCTTTTCTCCAGCCAAAACATCCTGTTGAGGGCTTGGCAGAACCCCCCACTGAGCTCGACCCCCCACTGAGCTTGGCCCCCTTGTGGGACTGGGATTCGAAGGCTTTGGGCAGGAGTTACAGGTTGTGTTGGCTGCTGGGCACTTGCTGGGCTGCCTGGTGGCACAGGGAGCGTTTTGCTGTTCATCAAGCGGAGGACTATAATTTTGTGAGATCTGGGATGTTTACCTGCCAGGAGTATAGAAACAAATGAAGGTCATTTTTCTTAAGGGCTCAGAAATTCGTTGTTTTGTAGCTGCTGCTGGGACCAGCTGTTTTAAGGGTGTTTTAGTAGCATTGGGAGGACTTTTCAGGGCTCCGTGGGATATGTGGAAGTGACTGTGGCCTCTGGTTCTCATTGCACAGGTACGCCTTGCTGAGGAAGTCGAAAGAAAGGCAAGCCCTGGACGGCCTCAATAACTTGAACTACTTTCCAAACGTCACATATGACGCCTTGTATAAGAACATCACTGTTAACCTGACACCGGAGCTGGCTCTGGTGACCGAATATTAAGAGGAGAAAATAACTTTGCTCTGCCCTTCACCAAGAAAGCACCACGCTAGACTTACTTTTCCAAGGGTTATCGAGGACAAGCAACACTTTGTCTAATGAAGGATCACAGTATTTTGGAGAATAAGGCTGAAAGTGCACGCACAAATTGCCCTAGCTGTACCAATCCAGCCCGATACCCATGCAGCGAGCTCAGCAGTCTCTTTCTTTTTTGCGCCACTTGCTTTCTGGGTTTCAGGACAACAGTTCGACCTGCTGCTCTCGTCTCCACATTCCTCCTCCAGCAATCTCCAGCACCGGGACTCGCCTCGGGTGTGCATTCTCCTCCGGGAAGCAGCTCAGCTGAGGGACTCCGGCTTCTCAACGGCAAACATCGGGAGCAATTCAGTTGGCAACTGCCCTGGTGGGAGATAAAACAACTTCTGATACTGTTCTTCTACGTCTGTGCGGTTTTTTAAATGACCTGCTTGAAGTATATACAACAGAATCGCTTCTTAAAGAAGTGTAAGTGTAAATAAGCTGTGTAAATTGCCCCTTTTTATTTTTCTTCTATAGCTCATATCCAAGCTAGAGGTTTACATACGGTCACTCATTTTAGTCCTGAATTCTGTAAACACTTGTGTGTGCATCACTGTACTTGTGCAAGGTGTTCCCTTTTAAACCAGCGAGACTGCTTGCATGATTTAAGCTGTGCATACGCAGACACGTTCGTGAGCCAGGGCCCTAAACTTTCCAATGTAGTGGATGAGAAATACAGCCGTGTCATCGCTCGCTCCACAAACCACAGAGGTGGCTTTTTCCAGGGAGAGTGAGGAAATGGGAATATTTATGGAAAAAACTCCCCTTTCTATCACTTTTGAAACATGACGTGCAGATGAATCCAAAAGCCATATGGAACAAATTCCCTTGCCTTTAGCTGTATATCCCACTGATGGTAAGTGCGAGCTTGGCAGATCCCTCAAGAGCTCTCATCCATGCTGCTGCAGGACACCCAGCCCCGGGACGGCTGCTCCTGCCCATGTGCCCTCCTTGGGATGGGGCCGCTGGAAAAAAAAACCCAGGCCAGCAGCATCATGCCATCACTCCTGTAGCGTGATGGTATGGTTTGGGAGGTTGGTTTACGTTGTATTTATTGTGTACACCTAGCAGCACACTGAAGCACCGTCAGTCAGAGCCGGGTAATGTGCTTGGTTGTTGCCAGTGGCACCTGGCGGCATTTGCACTAGCCCAGCTGGTGGGGCAGGTTGCCACAGGTTAGTGAGAGTGAGAGACATGAAGGACGCATGAATGAAGCTCATGAAGAAATGAGGACCAGGAACCAGAAAGCTTGGTCTGATGCCCCATCCAACCATCCAAACTGGAGTGCCCCCTCTCTTCTCCCTTCTGCTGTCCCCTCCTTCCCCACCACTGCTGTGGGCAAGCTGGGCTCCGGGCTCTGCCCCCCACTGCCGGTCAATCCAGTCCTTACACAGCACCACACCATCACTTTTACTGGACCTCTTGGACTTAAAAGTAAATACATCGGGGGTTGCTTTTTAATTTTGTATTTATACATAACAACGGTGAGTACTTGACCTCCGAAGTACTTCAGCTTTCTTTTTATTGCGTTGTTTGCCTTCGGTTTCCTGAACTTCTCATGGTTTACATTGTTTTCTCGGTTCCGTGGACGTATGATCCCCATACACATCTGTTGTGGGTGTGACTGCCCAGGGCATTCCTAACCTGTATCCAGAAAACGTTAGTTTAGAAAACACGAGTTCTCGTTGCGTAGATCTTATCGGCCAGTATGAGAGGACAGCGAGCCTGCCCTTGAAAAGCGCTGATAAGTTTGTAACTTAGGTTTAAAGTCTTTGAACTTACATGTGCTTTAAACTCGCTTCCCGAGGGGATTCAACCTGGTTATTTATAGGCAGAGGTGAGGATTTGCTTTTCATGGCGCATATAGCAATAAAGACTTTTTGCTTCTGAATCTTGATCTCTCATTCACATGGACCCTCTTTCAGATGCTGAACCCTGCCCCTCTTTTCTTCCATCTTGAGACCTTGCTAGAAATCTGTCTTTGTTTAATGGTGCTTCAAACAAGGAATGTATTACAACTAGTCCAAGTTCACTACCCCAGGAATCATGCATGTGTGTGTGAGTAGGTGTTAAACTACCTTAGTCGGGATCCTCAGCCTTCGATGTGTACCTGACACCCGTCGCACCTTGTGTTGAACAAAAAGTGTTACCTCTGCTCAGAAATGCACTCTACGGTTGGCACAAAAGGGTCCATCCCCCCCCAGCAGCATCCGTCTTCATAGTTCCTTTGTTTTAATCACGTTGAATTTTTTCCCCCTTTTTTAAAATGTGGAATATCTGAAAATGTGCACTGTTAATCTTATCAGCTATGTCAAATACTGTATAGTAAATGTAACTGTTAAAAACATACTGTCAAGCGCATGTGCTGTTATGGTGTAAAAATTCTCGTATTAAGGAGAACTTGTACATATTCTGGCAGCTGAAACTCAACAAGGCCACTCGTTCGCCCCTTCCACGTCAACACTGTCGGTCAGCCCCGCCACAGGGCAGGTCCTGTTCGATGCTGATTTCTTTTTTTAATGAGCCATGTGGGTTTTATTCGCAAAACTATTTATTGACAGTTTGTTTTCTGTAAATCTCTGCTTCTCTAAGGGAGGTACCGTCTGAGCAACAGCCACGTACTTTGGGTTGCTCACCATCAGAAGTGGCTTTAAATTCTAAAGTAGCTTTCCATCATCATGGCTTTTGAGCTTACTGTTATGTTTTTAAGAGGTGCCAGGGGGACATTTTTGCACTGAAGACTAGTGTTTTAAAACACACACACACTTCTCAGCAAAGCAATCCTTTGTGTCATTACATTTATTTACCCATGTGTTTGTACATTTTTGTATTTGTTAATTTATGAATGATTTTTTCAGTAAAAAATACATATTCAAGAACAAAGATTGCAGTGATTGCATTTTCTTACAGGAGGTTGGGGTGTTCTTTTTTTTTTTTTGTAGGAGGTGGGACCTGCAAGCCTGAGTGGTAAGTGCTTATGAGAGCTGATGCGTGGAGATAGGTTAACCCTGGCTGCTAAAAGCTGATTAGAAATTTCTCATTTGGGCTGGCTAGAAGTAAATTGAGTGTGGGGTGGGGGTGTTCCCCATGCTCTTACTACTCTGTATATGCTAAAGCCTTTTTTTCCAAGCATCCCCTTCAGTGTAGTACTGATGGAGGGGCTGGCTGCCTTGAGGGAGATGTGTTTAGGAAGATGTTTGGCTGATGGTGGTGGGGAGGGTTGGTAATTAGATTTTTTGATCAACAAACCCAGGCAGGCAGACAAGCTTCCTTGCAGCAGCTTTAAAATAGCTTTCTCCTGCTCTGCAGCGTACAGGCATGCTAGAATAAATAGCTGGCAGCCCTGGGTTGTTCCAGACCTTGCCTTTATTTAGCTCTCAGTCTTCTGGGAAGCTTCCTCCCACCCACGGCGCTTGGCTGGAGCCTGCAGGGTGGAAAAAAAAACACCCCCCTGGGGACAATGGCCTTGCCTCTCCCTGCGCTTGCAGGAGTGAGGATGGGAGCCTGGTTGTGCACTGGTGGGAGTCCCTGACCTTGGTTTGGGGGGATCCCCATGGCCATATTCCTCCATAGGTACCTTGGCTGTGGGTGTTTCATTGCCCCTGCAGCAGCTGGGCTGAGCAGGGGCTGGAGGAAATGGATGCACACATAGAAATAGGGGGTTGCCCCTATACAGGAAAAACGAGAAGGGCAGGGAAGCCTCCAGCCCACATCCTGGGGGTGTGCATAGGACCCCCTCACTCAGGCCAGCTGCAAACGCAAGAGCTGGGAGCAAACCCCCTTTTGTGTGAGCTGTGCAGGGTGGAGGCCAAAGAGAGGAGCCCTGTGAGGGACCAGCGTGGCAGCACAGCTTCAGCACGGCCACCACTGCAAACCTGCAGCTGCAGAGCCGAGGTTTCCTCTCCAGCATCCCACGCCTGCGGGGGAGAGCGCTCTCTGCTCAGGCTGGAAAATCATTCAGCCTTCTGCGCTGCAAAATCCTCGAGCTCTCCTGCAGAGTGCACAAAAAAACCCAACCACCAAAACAGGGTCTTTTCTCCTAATTCTTTTCCCCCTTCATCTCCATATGGCACAATAAATGTGCCCGGGATGGCCAGGGCTGGCAGCTAGAGCCATGCATGTCCCAGGACACATGGGACTGCAGGGTGTCCCTGCCCATACCTCTGATGAAGCCTCAGTATGGCTTCCAAGGCTCCTCTAGCACCAGGTAGCTGGTTTTAGGTTAAGAGTTTCCAGTTGCAGCAATTTTCTTCCCCTTTAGGGTTACTAATTTCCTCCTGGCAGCAGGTGTGTTGGGAGGCAGTGCGGGGAGTCATTGGTCACACCAGAGCTTCTTGCTGATGCTCCATGGATCTTGGGTTGGCCTCTCTTCCCCCTCAGAGGGAAAGGTGCTGCCCCAGCACCGGGCACAGCCAGAGGGTCCTGTTGGCCCCCGCAAGCCCCTGGGTTTGCTGCTCTGGGCACAGTTCCCATGGGAAGGGCAAGGTGTCCCTGGATATTTATTCTTCCCTTGGGTGAGCAGTAGGACAATATTGACTGTTATTTGAGAAGGGCTCTTGGTAGACAAGAGTTGAGAGGAAAAGTTAACAGGAGCGGCAGGGTCACGGAGGATTAACTGTGGCGCTCAGGCAGCTGCCCTTAGTAAATCCTGCTGGGGAGGGCTTCCCCAAAAAACCCTTTCCTCTGAAAGACTCCCACATACACAGCCAAGAGCTCTGGCAGCCCTCGCTCCTCTCCTACCATCAGTACCTATAGCTCAGCCCCATGGCGACTTCTGCTGTGCTGTTGTCTGCCCTCAGCATCTTACCTCCCACCGTCCCGGCTGCTGCCTTTGCCCGCCCTGCCTGCACGCCCAGCACCCTGCTGTGCCCCAGCTGCACCCACCAGAGCAAGAAGCCTCGGTGATGCCCAGGGCCGCAGGCACCGGTCCATGTCATGGCTCCCAGGCTCTCCAGCACTGCTGATGGTGCTGCGTGCCTGCCGAATTGCTTTCGGGTAAGAAAACAGCAAAAAGGGGAAAAAAGAATAACTCATCTGGTATCATCTGGGTGAAGCAAGAGCAAACCGGTCCCTGTGAGCAGCTGGGACTCGGGCTGGTCCTTTACCCCCATTGAC